ATGCTGAGCGAGTTCGGCCCTTTTGATTTTCCGACTCCATCTCCTTGCACATTTAACTGTAATATTTTGCTTTGTCATCCCGTGCTGCCTTTTGAAATCTTCTATTCAACTCTTTAGTATCTTAAATTCTTCCCTGTGACATATCTAACAATTTTTTCTGGAGCCAGAAAGGAATGTGTCTTTGAACATCCAGGAACCAGGGCATTTAATGATTTACTTAGAAGAGACACAGAGTTTTGCAGATTCTCAAGGACAATAGCGTCTCGTTAGTTTGTATTTTGTACAAGCTCTCAGGGACTTTAATTTCTCATGACTAAAGCCTACAACACTGCTCTTCTGGGTCTCATGAAAGCACCCTGTTTTTCTTGGGGGTGCATTCGCATGCTTGCCTAGTAAGCTGTTTTCAGTTATCTTTCTACTGTGTGTTCCCATCAGTACTTCTAAACTCACCTGAAAACAATCATCCAATGTACAGCAGCTTTCAGAAACTCTCACAGCACAGTATGAAGGCCATCATAATCCTGGCCCTGTGTGGTGAGAAAGACCCTGAGGCCTAGTGAATGAGCTTGCTTTGCTCCTGAGTACAAGGAGGTGCCAGCTCCACATGAGTCCCCATATTGTGCTCTGAAGGGGAGCCCTGGCAGATGGAGGCTTGCTCTTGTCCTCCTTTGCTAGCCTGGTTTTATCTTGGGAGGAAGAGCATCCTGTGTGGATGAGGCCAGACCGCGGGACCACCAGCACCTGCAGGAAGGCCCCGCGTCACCCCACTGTTTGGTTCCAGGCGTGTGGTTGTCTGTTGTCTTCTCTGAGTTCTCTCTAACCCTTGCCCCTCACAGATGTCTGCACTACCACAGCTCTGTCCTGAGATCCTGTGACTGCCAGGCCTGGCCTGGGTCCTTCCCACTGAGGAGTGTGGGTTTGGCCACCAAGGCACCTCTGCCAACCCCCGGGTGCCCCGGGATGGGCTGGGGCCCCCAACAGAAGCAAGTGCATACTCCCCTTGCTTGTTTGCCCTAATCGGCACCCTGTTAATAGCTGGTTTTGCAGCTGCTTCTTTTCCATGATCATGTTGTATCTCTGGGTAGCCAGTAGGTACAAGAACTGTCCTTGGATGAGGCCTTGAGACACCAAGGCCTTGGGGTTTGTACGCTGCACATTGTGTGAGGCAGCCAGGGCTGCCCCTTGAGAATCTGTGAGCTTCCTCTGTGTGTATGAGTGTGTACAGCTTAGTGACTGCTGTCTGTCTCTGGGAGCATGTGCTTGAAGCTCCATTAGGATTTGCAGCATTTGCATTACATGACGGTACAGGGAAGTGTCCCCACTAGCAGCAGGTCTGGTCAGTTGTGCTCCCACCCAGATGTGCGCGCTCATTGCAGGAGCACCCTATGCTGCCTGGCCTGTTCCTCATAGCCTAGTTGTGTGCGTGCCTGGAAGCTTCCCAGGTCCTTTCTGTGGGGTCAGGGTCCTGAAACCATTGGCTCCTTCCAGGCCTTATGTGGAGGAGCCGCGCCACGTGAAGGTGCAGAAGGGCTCTGAGCCCCTGGGGATCTCCATTGTGAGTGGGGAGAAGGGCGGCATCTACGTCTCCAAGGTGACAAGTGGAAGCATCGCTCACCAGGCTGGCCTTGAATACGGAGATCAGCTGCTTGAGGTAAGAGGGAGCTGGCTTCTGCCCATCTTCTGTCCCTGCTTTCTCCTCATTCCTTCCATGTGAAAGCAGTGCCCAAGCCTCTGGGCCTCTCCGTGCCCCTCCTGTTCCTGCCACATCACTGAACTGGGGGTTTTGTCCCCAGTTCAATGGCATCAACCTGCGGAGCGCCACGGAGCAGCAAGCCCGGCTCATCATCGGTCAGCAGTGTGACACCATCACCATCCTGGCCCAGTACAATCCACACATGCACCAGCTCAGCAGCCACTCCCGCTCCAGGTGAAGGCCTAGGGCTCACAGGGTGGGGTGTACTAGGAGAGAGTGAGCTCTCCTTGATGGGAGTTCTTTACAGCCCTAAGTTCCGTGAGGATTCTGCTGCTGGTGAGAGGCATGTTGATTGGCCTCAGATTGGGGACAGCAGGCACATAGGGTGTGGGGCCAGCAGGAAAGCACTCATGCACTAGCTAGAAGTGGAGGGCCTGAGGGCGAGATACCCCCAGTGTCAGGTACATTCACTGCCCTGTGAAGCATGAGCTAGCTCCTCATGGCTCCTATCCTTGTGCTTCAGGTTAGGGCAGAAGGAAAAGGGACAGACGTGAGCCTGTGGGGCAGCACCTCACCCCTCAGAGAGGATGGGTTATGGAGATTGATACTGGTTCAGGGACCTTTGAGAGGACCCAGTGTGGATGCTGCTGCAGGCCCGGGCAGGTAGCAGGAGTGGACTGGTGGTTCATGTGGGTGAAAGCGGCAAGGGTCTGACCTGGTGCTTCTCGCCCCTCCCCAGTTCCCACCTGGAGCCTGCTAGCAACTACTCCACCCTGCCAGGCAGCGGAGCCACCACCCCGGAGCAGACCTCTGTCATCGACCCGCTGATGGAGCAGGACGAGGGCCCAGGGACCCCTCCGGCCAAGCAGAGCACGTCTAGCTCCAGGTCAGCAGATGAGTGTTGGAGCCTCTGCTGTCATCCACAGGCCTGGACACACCATCCCGCTCACCCACTGTGTCCTGCTTAAGAAAGTTAGACTTGATCCCACTCCAGAGCATTTACCTGCTGAGCAGGAATTCCGCATCTGACCAGGAGAGCAGTTAGCACCTGTTAGAACCGGAACCAGCCATGCTGCCGCAGTCTTGTGACCACAGACTCGCTTCGCTCTGAAGCCCCTTTTTCATTCTCCACTATGGCCCCGTGTTTTTTCACTCATCTCTTTCCCTCCCTAGATTTTAAGTTCCTTTAATGCTGAGGGGCCGTCTCTTCACAGTCTGTGGTCTGTTGAGACTGCTCAGTAAACAGTGGCAGAATGAACTGTGTCCCCAAACAGTGAGGCTAAGACTAACTTTTAAGTGGAACAAACTCAGGAGAGGAGGTGACACGTGAGTGGGAGAAATGCAGCCCAGAGATGTGGTTGTCAACTAGAGCCTTGATTTTGACCATCACTAGGCTTTCTGACCTTGCCTTTGATCTGTCTCTTCACCTCCTGAGCTCCGACATTAGTCCATGTTGTGATCAGGAACCAACAATAGCCTCCCAGTGCCCTGGATTCCTAGCCCTGCCCCGGGACCCCAGGAAGCAAGCAGAAGGCACTCAGGGCACAGCCATGCCTTTGTCTTTTCTATACCTCTCCTCCCTCTCAGAGCATGTTTGAGGAACTTCATTTTTTCTTCCTGAAAGGGTTGGGGGCGATGCCAACAAGAAGAGCCCAGAGCCTCGCGTCGTCTACATAAAAAAGTCCCAGATGGAGCTCGGGGTGCACCTCTGTGGTGGGAACCTGCATGGGGTGTTTGTGGCTGAGGTGGAGGACGACAGCCCTGCCCGGGGCCCTGATGGCCTCGTGCCAGGGGACCTCATCCTGGAGGTGAGTGCAGGAGTCAAGAGCTGGGCGCACGGCAGTCTCAGCCCCGGGAAGGAGAAAAGGCATGATTACATGGTGCCATATTGGTCCTTGCAAACCAGAGTGCTGCAGAGACCCTCAGGGTAGGTCACTGAGGAGCTCAGAGCCTGGAGCACGGGGATCCCCAGAGGAGCCACCCTGCTCTTGTGAGCATTGAGCTTGTGATGAGGGAGTGTTTTCTCCCCCCACCTGGTCCACTGCTCCATGGGACCTGTGGCTAAGACATATCTAAAAGCTTAGGCATGAATAAAGTGCAGTGCCATCATTTGGATATCCCACACCTGTGGGGGTCAAGAGCTGGGTTTTCCATGTGATCAGGGATATGGCTTTTGGGGAGACCATGCGGGCCCAGCCCTGCCTGCAGAGGAAAGGCTGGGAGAGGCTCAGTTGAGGGGTGTTGAATTACTGGCGGACCTCTCCACTGGGCCTGGCATGTGACCTCACCCTCTGGTTCCTGGACAGTATGGCACGCTGGATGTCCGGAACAAGACAGTGGAGGAGGTATACATGGAGATGCTGAAGGCCAAGGACAGCGTCCGCCTGAAGGTGCAGTACCGCCCCGAGGAGCTCAGCAGGGTCAAGGGGCTGCCCGGGGACGGCTTCTACATCAGGTACTGGCAGTCACATCCATAGCTGTGGGGAGGGCTTTCTGGGCTCAAGGTCTCTGGGTTGATGGCTGCAGCAGAGGTGGGTCTACGGTCATCGTGAACTGATCCCTAGGTCCACAAGATGTTGTGACTTGGGGCCTGAAAGCACTGTATTCCCTTGTTTGAGGACAGGGCTTGGGCCATTTTGAGGCTAAAGGTCCCGTTTTCTCTGCTAGCCCTCCTGACACCTGTAGGGCGTGGGTAGGCTTTGTGGGTGGGTGGAAAAAGGCATCAGGCATTTTTTTGGGGGGGGGGGGGGGGGGGGGACTCTCACTTCCTTTTTATCTTCTGAGATCTGAGGCCCAAAGGGGTAGACCACCTGGTCAGCCATGTTCCATGAGACTCAGTTCTCTGTGCCTGGGGCTCCAGTCATGGGAGATGGCCTATCTATGTCCAAGGGATTTACAGTTTGTGGGAACCATGATCCTTGCAAGGGGTAGACATGGCCTTGATCCATCACAAGAAACGTAAAATCTCATGGGGGTGAGTCAGTCCCTGTTCTCAGTATCCCTCAGTTTATAGGCAGGTGTGTGTCTTGTCCAGAAGGGACTCTTTGTCCCAACATGTAAAATACAAGACATCCTCCTGAGAACTCCTAGCAGAAAGAGGAAGAGACTGTCCTGGCCCGGGAGTGACAGTTTCCAGTTGGGATCTGGGGAGGTCTGGTTAGGTATCGTCTGTAGGGAGTTACACTGCTAGCCCAGTGCCTGTGCAGCTCTGAAGGTTTCCTGTTTGAGAGAACAATGGGCAGTCTCCTTCTGGGTAATTTACAGCCTTGGGAAACCAGCACAGGGTCAGCTGTGAGTTGGTCCTAGCTTGACAACGATGACGGTGTGTTTTTTTTTTGTTGTTGTTTTTTTTGTCGGGGTTGAGTCTGGGAAAGCTCAGAGCAGGATTGAAGCCCATGGGAACTCCTCTGACAGGCTTTCTGCCCCCTTGCCCAGAGCGCTGTATGACCGGCTGGCAGAGGTGGAGCAGGAGCTGAGCTTTAAGAAGGATGACATCCTCTACGTTGATGATACCCTGCCCCAGGGCATGATTGGCTGCTGGATGGCCTGGCAGCTGGACGAGAACGCCCAGAAGATTCAGCGGGGGCAGATTCCCAGCAAATATGTGTACGTGGGTCCTAGTGCAGGGCTTGGGGCCATAGTAGAAGGAGGTTCGGGTGGGGATTGGGGACACAGGAGAGCTAATGCTGCTGCTCATCTTGACCTCTGATCCATTCATTTAGCTGAGAGTGAGTATGTGTCCAAAAAGTGGCTTCGAGCAGAAATCCACGTTGGACATGACAGCTTTGGAAGCAAAACTTTTGGTGTCACATAGTGAGGAGTGCCCCACAATCCCTTTTGTCACTGATCTGAGCACATCAGGGCCGGACTTGTCCTGCTCTGAGCACTTGCCCCTGATGTTGGTGTCCGCGTTGTGCCCCTCAGCAGGGTTGGAAAGTGTTTGTGGGGTGTTGGGGGAGGTGTGGAGCCTGCCTGGCCCTTTCCCTCCTCATTCTGGCCATGTGTGTGCATAGACACAGTGCCCACAGCCTTTCCCAGCATGGCCTCTCTCTCTGACCACAGGATGGACCAAGAATTCTCCAGGAGGCTCAGCATGTCCGAGGTCAAAGATGACAGCAGCGCCTCCAAGACGCTGTCGGCAGCTGCCCGCAGGTCTTTCTTCCGCAGGAAACACAAGCACAAACGCAGAGGGTCCAAAGATGGGAAAGACCTTCTGGCCTTGGACACCTTCTCCAGTGATGCCATTCCTCTCTTTGAAGGCAAGTGGCCATGTTTGCTTTGTACATGGGCTTGTAGGTGAGAGTCACTGTTCATCCCAGCAACACCAAGACAGCAATTTAAACCAAGTGGAGCTTTGCCACGCAAAAGCAGCTTGGTGGTCAGTGCCCAGGTTGGTCCAGCAGCACTGGCCTTCACAGCCTTTGATGAGCATTTTGCATCATCCATCCTCAGAGTCTCTGTGGCTTCCCCAGGTCATCGACATGTCACTATCTTGGCCATATTTCAAGCAGCAGGAAGAGGGTAGGCAGAAGTGTGCTCCAGGAAAGCAGGCCTCCTTAAACACACCTGGGCGTGTTCAGCCACTCAGCAACACAGATATTAGGAGGGAGGGAGTGGAGGCATTGAGTCGTCTTTGCTCAGTGGTGGTGTTCGTATGTTTGAGGTTTTATGACGGGCTGCTTGGTGGTAGCCAAGGATCTCTGTTGAACTGTGGCTTTCCTGGCCTCACCCTTGTGTTATTAAATGACTGCTACAAGATGCCCACAGGCTGGAATGTCAGGTTTCCAGTGGTGGATGGTCTGTGGAAAGTGCACTCACCCTGTAAACAGGATGCTTTTCTGAATGTGGCTCCCAGGACCTTGGTGTGGTCTGTCAACCTAGAATGCACTCCCTACCCTACCCGAGAGTAGCAGGATGTGGGGGGCACTGTGAGCAACAGGGAGGGACAGCTGAGTTTCTCCTGACCTCTTGTCTTCTATTCTCTAAAGGAAAACCTCCAACCCAGCAGGTTAAAATGACCCCACCCTTAGTTAATGACCTTCTGCCACTAATTAGAACAGGAGTTACCACAGTACAGCAGGGGCCACGTGTTTATTAGCTGCTCTGGGGAGGCTTATGAGCCAGGGGTAGTTTTTCTGTTTTGTTGTTGTGTAACCATAAGGTCAGAACCAACTCATCGCTGACCCTCCGGCGGGTTTTCAGAGGCAGTTAATCACATGGGAGGAGATTGCCCATCCTTCTCTTGCAGAGCAGCAGTTGGCCTTGAACTGCCTGTCTTCCAGGTCACAGCACAGTTTCTTACCACTAGGCTACCAGAACTCCCTTTTATATTTTCAAGGGTAAAATACTGTAAAAGACTGTTAGAACAAAGGCAGACTCCAGTGGTGCAGTCCATTGAGAGGTGTCTGCTTCGCAGAGGCTGCCCTGGGTGGCAACTGGAATCTGCCAGCAACTTCTTGGGAAAAAGATGGTGCTCTCCTACGTAGTGACTAACAGCTGTGGACACCAGCAGTGTCAGAGTGTGCCGGCTGGGAGTCAGTTCCAGCTGCACAGCATTGAGTAAGCCAGCAATTAGAACAAAAGGACTCTCAGTCTTCTGGAGGTAACAGGTGCTTTATTTTGCCTTCAAAGCCTAAAATATTACTTGTCCTTTAGAGGAAAGTCCCCCAACCTCTCAGGGTTAGGTTTCTCTCCTGTCTTCATCATTTCTTTCTTTTTGGTCTCCACTCTGTTGTCGGCCTTTCTCTTTAATCTCTTCTGGGCTTGCTGTTTGTGAATTTTAGGACAATAGCCATTTGCCAGCTCTTCCGGTAAGTTCTTCTGGTGTGTGTACTGCTGAGGCTTGCAGCCTGATGAGCCTGCCTTGTTTATCTGAGTTTCCCACTGTTGACGGGGTGTAGTCTTTTGACTTGCTCACATGAGTGGAGAATATTTGAATTTTCCTTCTCTGCCAGGTTCCTGCCTTCTGATGCCTGCTTTGCAGATATCCTGTTTGAATTGTCTCCAGGCATGCATACCTTGTGAATGGTTCTGTATTCTCAGCTGTCCCTGAGAAGGACATGGAATGTATTTCTCACAGTGCTTCTTGTCAGCTTATTTATTTATTTATTTTTGGGTGCAGATGTGCACGGTTCATCATTTTCTGTCTTTTTACTTTCAACTTTCTGTGCCTTTATAGTTAAATGTTGTTTTTTTTTTTGTAAGTAGCATATTTTTTCAAATACACTTTGATGACCTATTTTAAAAATTTACGTTGAGGTGTGGTGTCTGTAGAAAGAAGGACAAACTTGATTACAGATTACATGTACACGTTTCCAGTATCTGAACATACTGATGGCATTATGCTGTTTAATTTAATCCATGAAATAAAATCCATTTACTCACATTACGTGGTTTGGATGCACCAGCTGCTCCACAGGAGAAAGATGGGCTGTCTCCTCCAGTGTGATTTACTGCCTCTGCAAACCGCCACAGGTCAGCCATGAGTCACTTCCAACTCGATGGTACTCAACAACAACAAACAATATTTACACTCGTTTCCTTTTGTCCTGTATTATTTTGTGTTTTCTCTTTTTATGACATATTTATTTAGATTAATCAGGAACTTTTTATATCCATCTTCCTCGTCCCTCATCTACTAATTTTTAATCTTTTGAAGGTTAAAACATGTTGCCACAAATGATGGTAATACATTGGGGGAAAAAAGTGTTTCTAAGTACGGCTGTCAATTTAAAAGTGTACGTATTAACAGAATACATCTCAACATGTATCTTTGACTTCACTGCTAATACAGATAATTGCTGTTAGAACAAAATATTATCCCCTCTAGCTACTCTTGTGGGGAGTTCTGGTGGCCTAGTGGTAAGAAGCAGTGCTGAAATCCCAGAGGTACCCACCACCCAGGCTGGTTGTAATCCACCAGCTGCTCCGTGGCAGAAGGATGGGCAGTCTCCTTCTGTGTGATTTGCTGCCCCTGAAAACCTGCTCGAGGGTCTTCTATTAGTTCTCAGTGGTACACAACAGCAGTGACTCTTACTGTATCTCGGTTCGCCTCCTTTTTACCTTCTCCATTATCATCATTTTAATTCTATGCATATTTTAAACTCAAGACAATGTTGTCATACTTTGTTCTTTCTTGTCATTTTTGTAATTCCATTTTCTCCTGAACTCATCATCCTGCTGAATGATACTACTCTGTGTTTCCTGTAGTGCAGACCTCTCAGGGACAAATTCTTTTGGCTTTTGCTTAACTAAAAATGCCGATTCACTGATGTTTTTGAGGAGACTTTCATTGGGCGTTGAATTAGGGAGGAGCAGATAGATGATGCCACCACTTTGGACAGGCCATTCACCATCTGCTGGCTTTGTCTTGTGATAATATCCTAGGCCGCTGCAGCAGACAACTGAAAACGGCGAGGCTTAAAATAGTAGAAATTCACCCTCTCACATTTTTGGAAGCAAAAGGTTGAGAATCTCTTTCATTGACCTGCAGTCACAGTGTCAGCAGAGCCTCTTCCTCGCCAGAGACTCAAGGGGAGAAGCCACACTTGCCTCTCCCAGCGACTAGCATCCCACAGCTGCGGCCACATCATCATCATCATCATCATCATCATCATCATCATCATCTTGAAATCTCTCTCTGCTCCTTTTTCACATCACCACCTCCTCCGTGGATGTCTGTTGCAGGATTCTCACTCCCTTTCTCTCATAAGATGCATGATTGCATCAACTTAATCCCTAACCATCACATCTTTTGCTGTATAAGATAGTGCTGATGGGTTTTTAGGGATTGTTGTTATTGTTGTATACCATTGAGTCCAAACTGACCCATAGCAGGGTTTTCAGAGGCAGTTAATCACACGGGAGGAGATTGCCCATCCTCCCATGGAGCAGCTGGTGAGATTTGAACTACATGCCTTCAGGATTGCAATGCAGCTTCTTGCAACTAGTAATAGGAAATATCTCTGGGGCCAGGGTATTTCAGATTGCTTCATATGTGATCAAGTGTCCCCTAGGATTCTCAGCCACAGCCAGCCAGCACACGGGCATGGCCCAGGGCCTGCATGATGTTTATAGGTTTCTTGAGTGGTTTGCATATTCTCCTTACCTCACAGTTTAGATGGGTGTATGTTTGCTTGTTTATAATTTTTTCTTCCAAGAGCATGGCACTTGTCTGTCTTTTGCTTTGCTGAGGTGACTCACACATTGCTGTGATGCTGGAAGCTGTGCCACTGATGTTTCAGGTACCAGCAGGGTCACTCATGGTGGGCAGGTTCCCGCAGAGCTTCCAGATCTAAGACCGACTAGGAAGCAGGATTGGCTATCCATTTCTGAATGAGCAGGTGCTTGAAAACCCTGTGAACAATAGAGGAACACTACTGTATATAGCTCTAGAGATAGTGCCTATAGACTGGAATGGTCAAGATAAAGAGAGACAGCTACAAACATACATTAACAAGAACATGGAATGTACAAAATATGAATTGGGAAAATTGGAAGTTATAAAAAAAATGAAACACGTAAAAATGGACACTTTAGGTATTAGTGAATTGAGATAGACTGGCATTAGTCACTTTGAATCGGATGATCATATGATCTGTTGTGCTGGAAATGAAAAATAGAGGGGAAGTGGCATTGCATTCATAGTCAGAGAGACCATTTAAACATCCACCCTGACATGCAGTGCTCTGTGTAACAGGACACTGTCCATACACCGTGAAGGCAGACCTGTTAACACAACCGACTGGAAGAGATCCCTATTTGTTCCCAGTCCCAAAAAAGGTATTCAAACCAAGTATGGAAATTGCCAAACAGTATCATTAATATCACATGCAAGTAAAATCTTGCTGAAAATTATAGAAAAATGGCTAGAACAGCACATCAACTGAGCACTGCCAGAAGTTCAGACTTGGTTTAAAAGAAGCTGTGGCACCAGGGATATTATTGTTGTCAGATCTTGAATGAAAGCAGAGAATACCAGAAGAATGTCTGTTTGTATTATATTGACTATGCAAAGGCATTTGACTGTGTAGATCACGATAAATTGTGTCTAACATTGAATGAGGATGCTAGAACCCTTGGAAGAAAACCCTATGTGATTTGTGAACTTTTCATTCATACAAAGAGAAAAGAAAGGCTTGTGAGGATGGTGCAGGATCAGGCAGTAAGTGTTTTGTTCTATTTTACGTAAGGTCTTACATCAGAACCAGCTCTGTGGCACCTAACATGGCATGTCTTTGGGGACCATTTTCCAGCTTGC